TCCAGTCGTACGTGCCAAAAAGCCTCCTTCACATCCAATTTGCTGAAGACCTTAGCATCATGCAACATTGGGAGCACTTCGTCAACAGTAGGCAACTTATAGTGTTCTCTCATGAGGGCTTGGTTGAGTGGCTGTGGATCTATGCAGATTCTGAGTTTACTGTTGGCTTTGCGTGCGACAGCCATCTGGCTCACCCATTGAGTAGGCTCGGTGACAGGGATGAGCACACCACAATGAACGAGATTGTTCAGTTCAGCCTCGATGTCTCCTCTCAAAGCCAGGGGCACTTTACGTGTCGGTAGTGCACGTGGTTTCACTTCAGGATCCACAGTAAGTCTGGCCACTCCAAGATTGCCCAGTGGTTGACTAGACTGGGCTGAAATGCCAGCAATGAATTTGTCGGCAGTCACAGTTATCAGGTGCATATCAGTCACAGTTTTCAGACCAAGCAAACAATGGAGATCATTTGGCACGACAATGAAGATAGCGCTGTGTAGTTCACCGGTACGAACATTGGTGACAGGTATCTCAGCCTCGCCGAGGGGTCTGACTTTCGTGCCGTTCCACATGACAAGTTGCACCTTTGTGGGCCACACTTGGTCTTGACGAACAAAGGGCTGACAGATTGTGTTTACGTCAGCACCAGTGTCCACTTGAAAGCGGATGTGGCAGCCATTTACAGCAAGCTTAGCGGTGAGAGTGTTCTTCCTATTGCTGCTCACGTTTGCGAGGTATGCATAGTTGCTATCGCAGTCATCATCAGAGTCTGTGATGAAATCTGGATCCTTGCGTATGGCATGCACCTTAGGCTTTTTACACTTGGCCTTGAAGTGATTCTTGCCTCCGCAGTGAGAACATGTTTTGCCCCAAGCTGGCTAGTCAGTTCTCTCCCTTTAAGTGCACAAGACCACATTAATTGCACTCACGTTTCCCAGATGATGCAGGGGGTGGCCTCTTGTTCGCAGGTGCTGACTTGGCAGGCACCTTCCGTGATGGGCCCTTAGAAGTTGAGGCCTGTTTCGTTCCACGGACAAGTTTGACAGATGGGGCCTCTTATGCAGGGCGCAGAACTTTCCCTTGAACGGTAGCATTTTCTGCTGCCTTGCAAATGTTCACACATGACTCCAGCGTGAGCTTGGTCTCTCGTAGCAGCAGTTTCTGTGTTTCCTGGTCACGTATACCGAGGACGATACGATCTTTGAGTATGGAGTCCTGCGAGTCACTATGGTACTTGCAAGTCTTCATCATGCTGCGGATGGCTGCGAGAAATGACTCAAAAGATTCACCCTTCTTCTGGTCTCTTCTATTGAAAGAAACCGCTCATATGTTTCGTTGACTTCGCCGATGGCAAAAAAGTCAAATTTAGCGAGGATTTCAGCCATGGTACGGTGTGGGTATTCTCCTCAGTATCAAAGTGAAAGCTATTGTAGATTTTTAGACCCTCATCACCAAGGGTGTGCAGTAACAGGGCCACTTGGTATACTCTATCGTGTGTATCTAGCTTAGTAACGATAGCATAGTTCATCCATTTCTGTTTGAACAACTTCCAGTTCTCTGATAGGAACTTTATGTTGGTAAAATCTGGTGGTTGCGGGGGTTTAATACCACTAACAGGTGGTGCAGTCGCCATTTTGGCAGAGTCGGCATTTACGTATCAGAGGCAACATGTAAGTATGGCAAGAAAAAGCATGTGTCCGAATACTGGGCAACAGTTATGCACTCGTTTACATACTGCGTCGCAGTTACGATTTTGGCGGATTTCCAGACCAATCAAGCGTCACAGTTTGCGGCGTTTCAGCAATTATCACAGAGTCATTTGCACCTCGGCCTTTCCATTAGAGCTCCAACACCACTGCCACCATGTTGCGTGACCCGGCGAGGGATTTAGAAGGACAGATTATATGCCAGAACTTGGAGGGTACATGAACTCGCTGCAAGAGAGCTTTATTCACCAGACCAACAGAAACCCGGCGATAGAGGGCGTACTTTCATTTCTACTCAACAGGAAGAGAACACACAGCCAACGGAAAAACGAACTATGTCTCCACAACATGCTGAACTAAGGCCAAGATCACCAAATCCAACCGATAAACCTATTAGCAGAACAATTTGAAGCCTTCATAACCAACCTATCCAAAGCGACACTGACAAACACTGTAAAGATAGCTTTTGGAAAAGGCTTCAACCCCATTTCCACTTCCGCTGAAACATATGTCTGCCCCACTACAATATATGTCCACTCTTAGCTCACAATTTTTGTCTTGAACCACATGCAAGTTCGTACGATTTCGTCTCCAGAATCACCCACATTGCAACTGATGAGTCCCATACGAAGGGACAAAAGCATGCTCTTTCTATCAAGAGGATTTGAAAAACAGTCCTCTACTTGCACCACCAGTCAACCGACAAATGAACCAAAATTAATTATTGGTTTTGTTCTTATGTCCGCTCATAATCCAACTCTTGGACATAAAAGGCCAGATTTCACATACTCCAAGCGGGAGTTATTGCAACTGACCAGAGATGAAATGTCACTGAATGGGAAAGTACATACATGTATACCATCATCTTTTCACATTTCACACAACACAAAAATTGAGACACTGGTAACATGGGTACCTTGCGAGTTGCAGCCTTCCTTAAATTGTGTCTGTGTTGATTGTAGTAACTATACTGACACCATTAGATCAAATTGTACGTGAGCCACATGAAATTTAAAGCTACATGTAGTGCATGACCCCCATTCCATTTTGATGGAGGCAAGTAGTGTCTGCTCGCCCCCGATAGATGGAGGTGCGTTCATTCACAGTTTGGTTGTACAAGAAATGTAAAAGCTTGCGTTGAGTATGCCCCCATTTGATGAAGGCGAGTGCCTACATGTACCTCCCCCTGATAGATGGAGGCGTGTTCATTCCCAGTTGGGTTGTACAAGAAATGTAAAATAACAAGCGTGCGTTGAGTATGCCCCCGTTTGATAGAGGCGAGTGGCTGCCTCGCCCCCCCAATGGATGGAGGCGCGTTCATTCACAGTAGCGCTGTACAAGAAACAAGCTTGCATTGAGTAAATGCCCCCGTTTGATGGAGGCGAGCGCCTACCCTGCCCCCGATAGATTGAGGTGCGCTCATTCACAATTGGGTTGTACAAGAAATATAAAAGTGTACATTGAGTATGCAGGTTTTCAGCATTACTGTTGTGATGTCCATCATTTTAAAATGAACTGATTCTATTTCAAATTGGATGCTATTTTTAAATTGGGTGTGTTGGTAAACATATTTGGATTATGAATGAGGTGATGTCATTCAAATTGTAATAACTAGATGCTCAAATAAAATACTTGGTATGAATACATGCAAACATGTACACAACTTTACTAATGAAATGGAGCGGGGAATAGGTTGTGATGCCGTTAAGCTCAATCAACCTAAAATATGCCCAGTGCCAAATAAAGCATGGCGATCATGCATTTTCCGTCTATGCCCCCATGCTATGGAATCAGCTTCCTGCCTATCTTAGGAACATCAGTGAAGTGTCGATTTTTAAAGTACATGTACAGTTGAAAACGTTTCTTTTTAAAAAGTTTTTAAATTAATCCCATTTTTTAAAGCATTTTATAATTCATGTGTTTTTCTTGTAAAGCGTTTTGAGATATTTTATGGAAAACGCTATATTAAGAATAAATTATTATAAGAATTGTTATTATTATTAACTAAAGAACTGACTTTACTCCATTTTTTGGGAATTAAAGCACCTTGCATGTTCCGTATGGCCAGGAATGAAAATGCTGACTCACTTAGAGCCTAGACTACTGTGTTTGGTGAGATTTAGTGAGGATTACCTTATTTGCATTGCAACTTTCGTACTGTTGGTTGTCACTAGTAAGTGTGTAAAATACAAAATGATCACATGCATTTATTACTTTGTCAGTGTCAAAACACGAACAGTTTATCTCCTGGTTGGTTCATGAATATTGCAAGGCAACAAACCTGCATGGATTTGTGCGCCCTTTCATTCCTCCATGGTTAAACAAAGATAGAACGAACAAAATATGAATGCTTTCCCGAATAAATAGTTTCAGATTAACTACATAGGCCTACAGGAGTAATACTGACACATGTATGAAACAGAAAGTATGCTTAAACCACTGAAGTAAAAGTATTTTTCCCATATGTCATTCACCAGTGCACCCTATTTATGAATGGAAGAGGCAAGCAGGCCAACTTGCCCTGTCTGCTTCGGGGTCAGCTGATTGACACTCTCACTCCTGCGTTTTTTCTTTTTGGGATCATCTGTTACCCACCATTTCAGTGAAAAGTGATATATTACCGGTTTAGTGCTGGACCCCCATGAAAACGAAGAAAGCCACATTAGACTGGGCTCGGTCCAGTAATGTGGGGCCATGGAGCACTTTTATCTGCAGTGCTAATCTGTGTGGCACGCTATGCCAAAAACATGATTATCTTTGAAAAATGCAAGCCGAAAAATGATGGCAATTCCCAGCAGCAGGTCTTTTGTCCGATTTCGGGAAGCCTGGCTCTGCGCTTAAACCCATGGTGCCCGAAATGGAGTTCCCCAGCAGCAAGTGGTTAAGCGGAAAATGTTTGGGTTTTTCCCAAGAGTATTTTTTTTTATGTTTCTTTAGAATACATGTTGGTCTTCATTGTGTAAAATCACCAGATTCCTACTTCCAGTTGGAGATCTTCAAAACTGGAAATGCCTTATAATTTCAATTTATTGAAAAATATGAACTTGGTTTGAATGGGTTAGTCTCAGGCTACAGTTATTCCTCAAAACGCGTACTGGTGATAACGGGAAAAAAATTTAGTAACCCAAGGTGGCAGGTTGAAAAAATAGAAAAATGTATTTGGAGTTGATGCCCGAGGCAAAGTTTATTGTAATCCTTTGAAAAATTGGTAAATGCAATGACTTTCTCCCCTACAAGGGGAGATATTTGCCTGCAAAGAATTCTGCTTAGCAGGCAGATGACTAATGGTGATACGTGAATTATTTTGCACAATAATGTGCTTGAGAGATACATGTATTTTGAAAAACACTGTTAACATACATGTAAAGGCAGTAGTGTTTGGAAAAACTTCTATTTCCCCCCCCCCATATATGTATGTCAGTAGTTAATACGGGTGATTCACAATTTGGTGCGCCACCAAGAGGGCAACAGGGAAAGGCCAAATTCTCATGTTTTGGTCGACAACTTTTCAAGATGGCGACCGTTGTTGCTAGCGGCGGCGCTCGTGTTGTTGACTTTAAGAGACTAGCCGCGAAAGAATTACATAAGTTTCTGATTGAAAGAGGAATTCCTGCGCTGGACTATGGAGAGGGGACCTGATAAAATTTGCAGAGAAATTTGGAGACAAATATCCAGTCCTTGAAGAGTGTGACCATGATGAATCAGAGCCAAAACTACAAAGAGTTGTTGGTGAGAATGGGGAGATCACAGACTTGAATGGTCTTCAAGTTTCGTATTCAGCTGACCTCCGTAACATTCCGTGCGTCAGCTTGGGTGATGTTTTTGCCTACCTGGTGAAACAGTGTGAGTGGAATCCTGAGCGGCTCACCAGCTACCGGCAGGATGATGGCTTTCTGATGTTCAAAGACGGGCATGTCGAGGACATCTTACTTGGAGAAATTCAAGGCCACTCCTCCCATGTTTACATCCAGGCATCGGTGAAGCCAGAGCAGAGACAAACACGGCAGCGATACAAGACCTTGCTGCTGCTGTCAATGTCAGCCAGCATAAAGTCAGCTGGATGTGGTTGTGTAGCTGCGTAAGTCTTATTTTTTTTTTTCAAAAAGTGTAACATAATATTAATAATAGCATAAACCTAGTTTTTGCACATTTTATTTGTAAATTGTAGCCTGTTTAGGGGCCGGTGGTGATTTCAAGCCCAAGTAGCAGAGGCCGTTCTTTGCCACTAAAGCAGGCTTACTCAAGCCTATTCTTATGATACAAAACCCATGTCCTAGGCTGTCTGGCCATATTAGGACATAAACTCTTTAAA